TTTAGTTTCTATTTGGTCTCTAAGGGTGCGTTAATTGGTTGGTAATCAGAAAACAAAAATTTGCAAACAAGGGATTAAATGAAAACCAGAGTTGTATTCTTTGTTTTCAGAATTTTCAGATACGTGTTTGGTAGCATATTTGATAATTGAATCTCAATTTAAAAAATTGTTCAATGTGTGTTTAGTAATATATTTGTAAACTAGAAAGAGTTACAAACTAAATATTTAGTTTAATCTAAACTTATATTAATTAATTTATTAACATTTTATTTATGAATTTTATATAATTATTATTTTACAAGGTTATATAATTTAGAATACATTACATTTTACATCTTTTAATTTTAACAAATATAAAATGAATTTATAATAATAAATTAATATATTTATCGAAGTTTTTATTATTTTTAATGTAATTTTGCATCTTACAAATTTCAAATTCTGAATCTGAAAACACGGAAAACATAAAAAAAAAAAATCGTTTTCACAATTTCTACTGTTTGGATCATAGAATCCGAGAACAGTTTTAAAAAACGAATTTCCAAAATCCTACCAAACGCGTATTCACTAAATCCATTTGATTTGGTGAATCTGAAAACAAAAAACAGAATCCGAGTTTCCAACTAAACAGACCCTAAGTTATTTCAAAATGTTAACATTTTTATCCCATGCTTACTTTTGGTGATCCATGAGAGTTTTTTATTATTATTTTTTTACTATCACCTATTGAAATATTATAAAAATAAATAATTTTACCACATAAGCATATAATAATATTATTCATATTAAACGAACCAGACAATATCCTAGTCAGTATTTTGTTAGCGTTGCTAACTGTTTTGTTATGCCAGGTACTAAAAGTGAGCATTAGTGAAAACTCGGGGATTTTGAATGTTGAGAATCAAATGGAAACTAAATTCAAAATTCAGGGATAAGAGTATAATATTTTGAAACCTAGGGATCAAATGGAAACTAAACACGAGTACTCAAGGATAAAAAGTGCAACATTCTTAAACTTATGGACAAATAGAAATCAAACTCAAAATTGAAACACCAAAAACGAATTTATTTTTTATTTTTATTTTTTTACACAGAGAAGATGAAAAAAAAAAGTTGGCATTCTTGTACCCTATTTTATGTAAGCTTTGGTTGGCATCATGATAGCCAACTCCTTTAACTTCACTCTTACAATTGACATTGTGTGGAGATTTCAGTTTCAGTTGCAGCATATATTGGCTTGAAATTGACTCAAAGCAAAACTTCAATCACAAGATCAAATCTTTGTGAGGCCAATGCCAACTAACCCACGCATATGTGCTGGTCCCTAAGGTTAATTATAGGTTGTCTTCATCCTCCCCTCCCTTGCTTGGACCACCTTCATTGAAACTCAAGTCTTTGATAGCAACGAAAAAAGAATTCTGATTGGAAAACAAACAACTTAGGACGGTTTGATAACTATTTGGGTCCCGTTTCATAATCATTTATATTTTTTGATTTTTGATTTTTTTGTTTTTTGTTTTTTGTTTTTTGTTTTTAGAAAACAAAAACCATATATGTTTGATAACCATTTTTGTTTTTTCTGTTTCTAAAAAAATAGAAAACCAAACATCTTTGTTAAACATTTTTAGTTTTCTATTTTTAAAAAGTTAGAAAATTGAAAATACATATTAGAGAGAGAAAATTCTATGTAGAGTAGAGATGCCAATAATGTGGGTACAAGAGAGGATGTTCTCCCTCATTTTCGTGTTTGTGAAAATTTTTAATCTCCGTCTCCACCTCGTTATTCGATCCGAGAGATGTTCTAGAGAAAAATTATCAGTTTTATAATTGTTTTAAATTTTTTTAGAATTAAGTATAAAAAAATGTAATAAATATATATTAAATGTAATTTAAAAAATGAATTCAATTATAGGATCAGGATATGCATTTCCTATTTTTAGGGTCCGATCCTGCGAAAATTTTTGTCATCCCTAAAATAGAGACATGAAAATATTAGTTTAGAAAGATGTAAATAAACTTTTGCAAGATAAATTTTAGAGATATAAATAAAAGGATTTAGAAAAAAAAAGCGTGAAATAAAAGTTAAAAGCAAAAAGAGAAAAAAAAATTAGAGAAAAAAAGTAAACCGAGAGGAAAAGATACGTTAAACAAAAAAAAAACAGAAATTAAAAAGAAAAGGAAAAATTCTCGTGGAAACAAATTTAGAGATAAAAATAAAATTCAAAATATAATGTTTAGAGAAATTATATAAATATAGAGATAACTAAAAGTTACCCTGAAAGAAAAATTGAACGAGAAAATAATATATAATTTTTAGATGAAAAATAGATTATGAAGAGAAATAAAAGTTATAAAAAACAAAATTTTAGAGATAAAAAAAGTTAGGTAAAATATTAAATTTCTAGAGAGATAAATGAAATTGATCTGTAAAAAAAGATACAGAAAAATTTAGAGTGAGACAAATAATTAATAAATATTCAAAATATGAAAATTTTAGAGACAGAAAAAAAATTTATATAAAAAAATTTAGAAAGAAAAAAATTTAGAGCAAGAAAGAAATTTTTAGAGATAAATATGATAAACAAAAAAAAGTTAGAGATTTTGAAAAACATAAATATGCTTTTGAAAATTGTATATATATATATATTTTAAATTTACACCAGATTTCAAAATGCTTTATAAAAAACAAAAAACTGAAATATATTTGAAACATACCAATTTTGTTTTTTGTTTTTAATCTTTTTAAAATAAAGTTATTTTGGTAATGAATACAATTTTCAGTTTTAGGTTTTTCAAAAATCATTTTGAAATTCTATCTCAATTTTAAAAACAAAAAAATTTTCCAAAATAGATTTCTGTTTTCCAAAACTAATTTTTCTTTTTCATATTTACGTATAACAAATATATTTCTTACTCTTAAAATCTTTTCCTCTAAAATTTCTCTCTACAAAATTTATTTTTCTCTCTCTAAATTTTAATATTTTAAATATCTATTATTATTTTTCTCTCCAAAATTTTTCACCTCTATATATTTATATTTTTTTTCTTTTGGTTTGAATAGACCACTCTCATTTTTTTGTCCAAAAATTTAATATTTTATCGAACTTTTCTCTCTCTATAATTTTTTTTTTCTTTTCTTTCTTCTGTTAATTTATTTTTCCTCTTAAAATTATATCTTTTTCCATTATCTTTCACTATAACTTTTATTTATGTTTTTATTTATTTATTTTCTCTAAAAAGTATATTTCGAATTTTGTTTTTATTTTTAATTTCTTTTTCTCACTGTAATTTTTCTTTTGCTTTCTAATTTTATTTTCTTTAATCATATTTTCCTCTCAACTTTACTTTTTTTTTTCTTTCTACAATTTGTCCTTTTTTTTGTCTTTAAATTTTTTTTCACTAATTTATTTTTTCTAAATCTCTTTCTTTATCTCTCCAAAATTTCTCTTTAAAAAGATCTAAATTTGTATTTCGGTGTCTCTACATTATAGATGACAAAAATTTCCGTAAGGTCGGATTTTTGCTCCAAGAATAAGAAAATGCATGTCCAAAACCTGTCTCAAATTCCATTTTTTTTATAATTAATATATATTTTATTAACATAAATTGTGAATAAAATATGAAATATTTTTTTAAACTAATTATTTATAATGGTAAATAATTATTCTAAAAATAATTAATATATATTTATTACACTTTTTTTAATTCTAAAAATAATTAAAATTAATTACAAAACCGGTAATTTTTCCCACGAATATCCCGGTCCCCAAATAAACATTCTTTAAACTGGTTCTCGATCTTCGAACCGAAGAACGAAGTCGATATGGTGCACTGAAAATTTTCACGAGCACGAGAATGGGAGAGTGCATCTTTACTACCGCCCCACCCTATTGTCATCTTTACTCTAAATAGAATTTTATCTCTAATATATATTTTCAATTTTCTAACTTTTTAAAAGCAAAAAGAAGAAAAAAACCAAAATGGTTATCGAACGGACTCTTAGTAATTTGACTCAATTTTTTTTCTCTAAACCAAATCTTCTCCGCTCCCATTCGAGATCTTTTCCAGCTTGTCGTAAATATATTGTCGTCTCCTAGCCCCAACAAAAGTTCGAAGGGAGGAAGATATATATCCTGTTAATATATATAAGCATGGATAATATCTTCATTGGTTGTCATTCAAAAATAATATTAAACCGTTATGTAAGTAGAGAGAGATCCGTTGTCTTAATACTTCTTGCCATAAAAGAAAAGAGATTGAGGGTCCAAAATGCATGAAACTAAATTAGTTAGTATAAGTCTCATCTTTGAAGTTTATTCTTTCACATTATAAAAACTGAACTTTAGGACGAAAATACAGAATAAGATATAACAACCACCGAAACCAAATGACAAGTCGAACCCATAATCTATCAAAATATTGAAGAGAGAGTTGACTTTACTAAGCAACCAAAAATACAGCGAATTGGAAAAAGGTTTGTTGTAAACTCCACTATCTTTTGAGGCAGAGACATCCACCCCATTCTCAAATCAGTGGATTTCTACGTAAAGAAAATATTTTCCTTATCAAAAAACAACTTATTATTTTTTCAAAATTTATATCTTTACCTTTTTTCTTTTTTGTCCAACATTTAAAAGTGGTTAAGACAAAATTGATTCTCGAGTCAAGTATTTTCCTTAACAAAATAAATATATTTAATGAAAAATACTAAGTGTTATCTTTTACTCACCACAGATAAATTTTTAAGAGTAGAAAAAAGAGATCTTCTTCTATTTTTCAAAAAACTAAAAAAGTGTCAAAATTTTATTACTAATCAACGTCCATGACCGATAAATACTTAAATATTGGCTCAATTTTATTTTCATTCTATTAGTGCACCTCACTGCCACTAGAGTGATCCAAACTAAAACATTAACTTTAAATGATTACTTATTCTGTAATATTAATAATCACCAGATCAAAAAGGCCTAAAAATGTGGACTTCAAGTTACCTCTTTTGTTCTTCTATTTATACATAGAAAACCCTCTTCTTCCCCATTTATATACTCACTCATCTCCTTCACAGCTGCTTCAGGCAAGTTCAGTGAGAGTAATATCTTTCTCTCTCTCTCAAAAATGAAGTTTTTTTTTCTTTTTTTTTTCCCTCTCTTATAGTGTTTATTCTGCATGCATGTACGCAAAAGATTGTAGGTTCAAAACTTAATTTGTGAGGTATTATTCTTTGTGATTGCAGCCACAATGGGGTTAAGGGAAGTGTGGGTTGTGTTGTCAATAATGGTTGCAACTTCTTCAGCTGCTGCTGCTGTGGATCAACGGACCTTCATAATTCACATGGACACCACGAAGATGCCGGCCACAGACCCTGAACAATGGTACACATCCATGATTCATTCAGTCAATGAACTCCCGTCTCTCAACACCGACGAAGGAGAAGCATCGAACACGGCTGAGGTTCTCTATGTCTACAAAACTGCCCTTTCARGTAATATTTTAAATATCGATGTCTCACTTTAAACGAAGAAAATAGATATAAATTATAAGTTTGGTTATACAATTTTAGGTTTATGTCTACTCAACTTAAAGAAAAAACAAGTCTAATAAATCTTTAATCTTTCAATAGTATTAGTTCTTGAGTTTTAAATTGTTTTCTACAAAATCCCTAAACTTTCAATATCATATATAATATTTCTTATCTTTTCCTTTGATTTATGAAACTTAAAAATATAAATAAAATTCCAGGAACCTATTTCACACAAATGAAAAGCTCAGACATTTATTTAATACTTTTTAAAGCATAGAAATCTATTAGACATACTAATTTAAAGATATATTTGACACTTATTTAGAGATTTAGAGACTTGTTATACACAATTCTCAAAATTTATGAAAAAATTTATAATTTTTATCAAGAAAATATATAAATTAACAAATAAGTATATATTTCACATTTAGGCTAAATATACGATTAAATCCTTAAATGGTTGAGTGTTTTCTCAATTTCATGGTTTAAAAAAATTTAAAATTGATCCCTCATGTCTTAACTTTTTCAACTTAGATCCCTCTCCTGACCATTGATAAATTTTACAATTGGTAAACTTAACTAATGTAATAATACTTAGTGAAGCAATAGAAATTTAAATGAGAAAACAAAAATATTAGAAAAGGAAAATTCTACCTATTTCTTGAAAAAAAAAAGTTGGAGATATATGTCAATTAATGATCCCGTGTTGGATTCACTCTTAAATGTTTCTTAAATGTTTTTGCATTAGGTTGTTACTTAACTACACTAAGTAAATTTGGAGAAATTTGAAAGACTTTTTTCCCACCTTCATTTGATCAGGTTTTGCCGCGAAGCTCACCACCAGAAAGCTTGATGCTATAAGCAAAATACGAGGCTTTGTGGCAGCCATTCCCGATGAGCTGCTGCAGCTCCACACCACCCATTCCAGCAACTTTCTGGGCCTCGAACTCGATCATGGCCTCTGGAATTCTTCCACCTTGGCATCCGACATAATCGTCGGTGTCCTCGATACTGGCATTTGGCCGGAGCACGTGAGCTTCCATGACAAGGGCGTGCCCCGCGTGCCGAGGAGATGGAAAGGCGTCTGCGAACAAGGCCCCAAATTCTCGCCCTCAAACTGCAACAGAAAACTCATCGGCGCAGCAGCCTTCCTTAAAGGCTACGAGTCCATCGTCGGCAGATTGAACCAAACAGCGACGTATCGATCCCCTCGGGACTCTGATGGCCATGGCACTCACACTGCATCCACTGCTGCTGGAAATCTCGTGTACAAAGCTGGCTTTTATGACCAAGCCATGGGAGCCGCCGCGGGAATGAGGTTCACTTCCAGGTATTAAATTTTCATCTGCATGGAGATATTTTCAATCCAGGGTTAGCCAATATTTCTAATATATAGAGTTAAAATTACTAGTCTTTGAAGTTTTTAAGGGTAGGTTTAGAGTTTAGGCTTATTTAGTCCTTATATATTACAAAAATTTAATAGGTGCTTGAAAGTTTCAAATTTGTGTTTGATATAGGTCTTAATTTGCTAATGTTAATCTGTTTAGGATTTTGACATTCTAATTGTATTCTATATAGATGATGTTGAAATGTTAAAATCCAAGGTTGAAAAGACGAGGGACCGAATAAAAATTTATAACTCTTATTATCGTCCGTTGGTTTTAAAATGGACCTATGAATATCCATAGAATGTAATCTTCCTTATATACTAGCCATTGGGTCATTGGAAAGCTAATCATAAGAATTTGTTCAACACAAAATTGAATGGATTTTGATCTAATAGAGAGATCACTGACTTATCCATCACTTAAAAAAGTAACACTAAAATATCAATTACTAAAACTTGTAATTCAAGCAACTTTTTACTAGAATAAACAAAAAGTATAACCAAAAACTTATAATTGAAACCTAAAAATGTCCCCAACTAAAAAAACGTCTAATGTGAACATAATATTTATAAGTAGGGCTTCACTAATTCATTTAAATATATACTTTTTTCATAATACTTAGTTAACTTGACTATTCTCTTTGCATACAAATTTGATAGCTATTTTTTTATTAAACTTGAAACTTTGAATTCACATCAGGATTGCGGCATATAAAGTATGCTGGCCAGCGGGGTGTGCCAACGCAGACATCTTGGCAGCCATAGACCGTGCTGTCGCCGATGGTGTCGACGTTCTATCCCTCTCTTTGGGCGGTAGAGCCGCTCCTTTCTACCGTGACGGTATTTCCATAGCCGCATTCGGCGCCGTACGAAACGGCGTTTTCGTCTCCTGCTCCGCTGGCAACTCCGGCCCCTCTCCCTCCACCGTCAGCAATGTAGCACCGTGGATCATGACCGTCGCTGCCAGCTATACCGACCGGACCTTCCCGACCACCGTAAAGCTCGGGAGTGGACAAGTTTTCCAAGGCTCCTCTCTGTATTCCGGCAAGAACACAAATCAACTCCCACTTGTTTATAACAAAACTGCTGGCCCCCAAGAGGCCAATCTTTGCACTCCTGGCTCACTTATTCCAGCCATGGTGAAGGGGAAAATTGTGGTGTGCGAACGAGGAACAATTTCGAGAACTGCAAAAGGAGAGCAAGTGAAATTGGCTGGAGGAGCTGCCATGATTCTCATCAACACTGAGCTCGAAGGGGAGGAGCTTTTTGCCGACCCCCATGTTTTGCCAGCCACTTCTCTTGGAGCTTCTGCTGGCAAAGCCATCAAAAAGTTCATAGCTTCCTCGAAAGATCAACCGAAAGGTTCGATCACATTCGGGGGGACCAGGTATGGGAGTCGAGCCCCGAGAGTGGCTGCATTTTCCTCTCGAGGGCCGAACCCCATCCAACGAACTATAATGAAGCCAGACGTAACTGCACCAGGAGTCAACATCTTAGCTGCATGGCCGGCCATAATCAGCCCGAGCGAGCTCGAGTCCGACAAAAGGAGAGTGTTGTTTAACATCATTTCGGGAACTTCTATGTCTTGCCCTCATGTTAGCGGGCTGGCTGCGCTCCTCAAGGCGGCGCACAAGGATTGGTCGCCTGCGGCGATCAAATCCGCGCTCATGACAACAGCTTACACCACTGACAACAAAATGCGTCTCATCTCCGACGTAGGCTCCACCAGTGGTCGACCGGCGAATGCTTTCGCATTCGGTTCAGGCCACGTGGATCCCGAGAAGGCTTCCGATCCGGGGTTGGTCTACGACATCACGCCGCGGGACTACTTGAACTACTTGTGTAGCTTGAACTACACTTCATCACAGATTGCTTTGCTCTCAAGAGAGAATTTCAGCTGCCCCTCAAGAGGGGCATTTCTAAAGCCAGGGGACTTGAACTACCCTTCTTTCTCAGTAATTATGGATCAGAAGAAGGCTACAAATGTGAGTGTTACATTGAAGAGAACAGTGACAAATGTTGGTAGCCCAAGGGGGGATTACACTGTCAAAATTAACAGTCCAAAAGGAGTAGCAATAATTGTGAAGCCTCAGAAGTTAAGTTTCAAGAGATTAGGAGAAAAGTTAAGTTATAAAGTGAGTTTCATTTCATTGGGGAAAGGAAAATCTTTTGGTGATTCTTCTTTTGGATCTCTGGTGTGGCTCTCAGGAAAATATAGTGTGAGAAGTCCTGTGGCAGTAACTTGGCAGTAGATAAGATGATGTAACTGCACTTGGGGTGTTTATTTCCTATATATTTAGAAGATCCAAGTTATTTATTGTAAGATCATTTGAATTCTTCCAACTTTAAATTTCTATCCCATGTAATATATATCTAATAGACACTTTGTAACTATGTGTCACTACAACATGCTTAAATTAATAAATATTTTAGTCGTTAATATTTTGAGTGTTTTTTTTATTTGGTCGTTAATTGTTTAAAAAGTTTCAATTTGAGTCTCTCACGTTTTAATGACACACAGTTCTAATTATACTTTCTTTTCATTGATGAATGTTAAAATTGATTGTTGATCCATTCACGTGACCAGAATTAGTCACTATAGATTTAGATGATAGAATTAGACTATTTAAAGAGAAATAAAAGTTTAAATTTTTAATAACTTGGAATGGGTAGCTCTTTTAGCTTTTTACCCTAGTACCTAGGTTAGCTCGTACTCGGGTGACATCAAGAATACATTTTGGTGTTAAACTCACCTAAGAGGTTTGAGCACGAGACCCCATAGCATGTGATGCCACACAAAAGTCTGGTCATGTCCTTGCTAATGGAGCTGCCCTTTGGAGACATTTTCCTCTAATTTTTTTTATCAATTCACTAAGTATCATATTGATATAAAAGGATATATCTGTTTATCAAAAGACAGACCTTTATATGAAAAGATGTGACTATTTGAATGGCCACAAATAGTCTATAAATTGTGATTTTTTTTCAATTTTGAAAAGAGAAAAATCTTGTCTCAAATTCTTCTCCCTTTTTCTCTGTCGATTACTTAAATACTAAGGTTCGTTGAGCCATGTGCGTGAAGTACTGCTGCATTCATAGGTTGGTAAATATGTCCTATACTGAGAGGCAATTGTTCGTGAAACCTTGAGCACCGTAGATGAAACAAAAGGAAAGAACGCAGTCGTTGGGTTTGAATTGATTATTTTTGTGTTTCCTTAATTTCTCTACATATTTTCTCCAACATTTTTAAATAAAATTATATTGTGTATTGAAGATAAATATAAGTAAATAAATAAACAAATAATTACTTTATTTCCTATTTAATTGAAAGATCACTCTAGAGAATAAACCTTAAAATGTCTCTCATCGCTTGCATTAGAGATGGCGAGACATGGACTTCTGATACAGCATATACCATGACATGTTCGTTCGCTTGCCCACGAGAAATTTGGTTTGTCTTGTAATTCTAGACTTTCTATATAACCTTCAAACTATTTAGGGCATGGGATTAGCTAATTAGCATGGTTGTCGATTGTTATTACCAAGATATATATATTATAACAAATTAGACTTTAGAGTAGATGAAAGATCAGAAAAATGATGTCAAATTTCCAATATGAAAAGATGACACTATAAACATGTGTTGTTTTAACAGAGTTTTTGGAAATTTGATAATAGATGAGACTTCAAGCAGTGATATCATTGTTATTCAAAGGTTTATAATAGACTTGGGTTACTCCTCTCATTGTTAATTGATTTTGAGATGGAACTCCAAAGTTAATAATGGTATCAGAGCTTAAAAGCTCAAACGAGCATCCGGTCCAAAAATGGGATTCGACCAAGATCGATGAGTCAAAAGAGCCACGATCTTGAAGGGACATATTAAGGATCCCATATTGAAAACAAATATTTGTAATAGACCTGAACTACTTCTCTCATTGTCAACTGGTATTAATATAATTGTTAAAATATAATGATATATAGTTTTGGGACTATCATTTTTGTTTTTCATTAAGTTACTTTCTCTGAGATAATTTGTTGATACCTTGGTAAAAAATCTAATTTTAACCCTAGTCAACACATCCAGTTTGAACTTTTTATTAAGTGGGAAGCACGAAACTAGCCTTTCACATTTAGAGGAGTCAAAGAGAGAATCACGAAGATGGTGACAAATTTTCTAGGGTAATTAATTAGTTATGATGGTGACTTGGTGTGCAAAATTTTTCTTCAAAAGTTTTTAAAAGGCTTAAGCTGTATTTAGATTATTGTGAACAATTTTTATCGTTATCACACACTTTTTGTACACTCCAAAATATATAGGTCAACTATTTTTCAGCCACTCAAAAGAACTCATATGATGACTAGAATGCTCTATAATGGAATACTATGTAAAATAGTTCTAATGGGATGGGTCTATGATATTGTTCATTTTGGACATAACACTCACGACTTTACTTTGGTTCCACCAAAATAGCCTCACACCAATGAAAATAATTGTCCTATCTTATATACTCATGATCACCTCCTTCCCTAGCCAATGTGGAACTTTGTTTGCAATCACCTTACAAACCCAACAGGCTCAGTCACACATTTTTCTACTAAAATCGTAGAAGACAAAGATGATAATTTGTATTTTTTTACACATTTAGAACTTTTATTATACTTCCATCGAAGTTGTCATTTGTTACCTTTAGAAATGTTCGGATTATTAGTGTCAAATCGACGTCGGAATAAGTTACGATCGAGTCGGGACGAAGAAAGAATGAAAAACATGTTCTGGAGCGCTGTAGGCCATTTTGGCTCAAAGCACGGGGTCGTGGTATCGCTGCTGCGAAAAATCAGAAAAAAAGGACACGTGTTTAGTGTGTTGACGTTGTGGTGCTCGTAGCCTTGAGATGTTGTGATTAACGTCTCAACGCTACGACTTTTTTTTCCTATATATTCGTTTGTTTCATTTAGGCTTTTTATTATGTTGCTGCATAATCAAAGTAGCGGCTGAACAATAGTTGGTGCACTGTTTTCAAGGCATGGAGCAATTTTTTGGCAGAGATACAAAGACGAGATCCCGAGGTTATAGTGCATTGTCGACAACCAGTTCTCGTGGGTATTTGATGAAGTTTTTCATTCTTGTATTCCTAGAATTCTATTGTTGTAGTTCCTAGAAGCTAGGTGGATTTTGTTGAAGCGTCTAGATTTGAGAGTTATTGTATTGCACATTGTTGATCTCAAAATTATAACAGAACCCGTTGTCGCGGAAGACTGGACGTAGCCCATAGTTGGGTGAACCAGTATAAATTCTTTGTGTCGTTTATGTGCTTTCCTTATTATCTCGTATTACTGTAGTTGATTGTGTTTTCACTGAAGAACTGTCGAAGGGGAAAAATTTCTTGGTAAGTAATTTTCTCAACAAGTGGTGTCAGAGTTGTAGGTCAAGCATCATGGGATCTAGTGGAAATGTCAACTTCGAGGGGGTTCTAAGATTTTATGGGGAAAAATTCTGGTTTTGGAAGATGCATGTGAAGGATCTTCTCATGTATAAGAAGATGCATAAAACTCGGAAAGAATGACCTGCTGGGATGACAGATAATGAATGGGCAAAGATGGATGAACAAAGTCGTAGCGATGATCAGGTTGTGCTTGTCAATGAACGTGGCAAGTCTAGTAGCGAATAAGACAACAATGATGTGACTGATGAAGGCGCTGACGAACGGATATGAAAAACCCTCTACCAATAGCTAGGTGTATCTCATCACAAGATACTTTAACATTCAACGGAGGAAGACAACATTGGTGACCTCCCACATTAATGAGATGACTAAACTAATGAATCAGTTGGAGTTGATGGAATCACTTTTTTAGAGGAAGTGAAGGCTATAAAGTTGTTGTCTTCTTTGCCTGAGAACTTGGAAATGATGAAGACGACTGTATCGAATTTGTTGAAAAATAAAAGCCTGAAGTTCTCAGAGATCTGTGATACTGCTATTGCTGAGGACATTCGCAGGAAATGAAGTGAGAATAATTATGCATCCACTTCCAATTGTGAGAACTCTATGGATTTAACTTTGACAATTCAGAGTAAAGGCAAAGAGAAGATGAATATGGTAAACAGTAGAGACAGGGACAGAGGAGGGAGACTGGCGAGATTGAATATTTCTACTGCTATAAGAAGCGCAACTTCAAGAAGCACTGCAAAAAGTTTAAAGAGGATCAAGAAAAGAAAATACAGATAAATGTTCTGTAAGATGACATGTTGTTAGCATGCGTTGAGAGTGACACGGTATTTGTGGATTCGTCATCAGAATGGATAGTGGACAGTGAAGAATCAGTGCATGTATCTTCAGACAGGAGTTGGTTCACATATTTCACTATAGGAAATCATGGTTCTGTGAGGATGGGGAATGAGAGACTATCCAAGATTAGAGGAATTGTAGAGGTTCGTCTAAGGACATAAAGTGGGACTGAGATAGTTTTGCATGGTGTCAGGTACATACCCAGTTTTAAAATGAATTTGATATCCGCATGGAAGTTGGATGAAGAAGGCTACATAAGTGAGTTTGCAAAGAACATGTGGAAACTTATGAGAAGATCTGAGGTAGTGATTGTAGGCCACAGAGAAGCTTCAGTTTATGTGTCGAGGTTTGATGTTGTCAAAAGACCAGAGAGAGATAAGTTATGCATAGGGCTACAGATGGTTCAAGGGGAGACTTGATAGAACCAACAGAGACAGTCAGGACAGATCAGGAGAATCTACCATCAGTTCAGGTTCAACAGTTGGGAAGTAAAGGAAATGAGAGGAAGAATAGCTCAGTGAGTTGTTCAGCAGACTGTCGGATTTTAGCCCAAGTTGCCAGACAAATTAGCAAGCTGATGAAGTCTCATAGGCGAAAGAGTGCATTGAGGAGAATGACTATAGTTGATGCTGAGGTCGAGGGTGAGATCTCTAGCTTGGCAATAGACTTGATTGGGTTGGCCAAGTCATCAATGAATAAGCTTTTCTTCAGGAGTCAGTTGGGTTGAATCGAGGAAGGAAGTATCGAAAACCACTTAGTTCGAGTGTAAGCAAGTGACTATGTCTTTTACGTTTAGGAGACAAAACCACGTAGAATTGCTCAATCCCAGGGTAATCACAGATGGAGGCTTAATTGATGCCAAGAAGAAAGTAGAAGTTGTTGGTGTAGTGGGAGTTGAGGCTTCGTTGGTATCAAGAGGATCTTGATCAGTTAGAAGTTATTGGTACAATCAAAACTAAGTAATGAGGGACACTGTTGTAGCAGAGGGAGGTAGATCTTCATTTTATCTCCAAATGTGAGATTGTTGGGATTGGTGGAGCAAAATCGACGTCGGAACGAGTCGAGACGAACAAATAATTAAAAATAGGTTTTGGAGTGTTGCAGGCCATATTGACCGAGAGCACAGCATCCCAGCGCTATTACAAAAAATCAGGATAAAAAAGGCGCGCGTTTAGTGTGCTGACGCTGTGGTGTTCGTAGTGTTCATTTTTCCTATAAATGTGTTCGTTTCATTGAAGATTTTTATTATGTTGTTGCATAATCAAAGTGGCGGCTGAACAGTAGTTAGTGCACTGTTTTCAAGGCATGACAGCAGTGTTTTAGCAGAGATACAGAGACAAGATTTTGGGGTTGTAGTGCATCATCAACAACCAGCTCCCGTGGGTATTTGGTGAGGTTTTTCATTCCTGTATTCTTAGAATTCTATTGTTCAAGTTCCTAAAAGCTAGGTGGCTTTTGTTGAAGCCTCTAGATTTGAGAGTTATTGTATTGTCCCTTGTTTATTCCAAAATCATAGTAGAACCTGTTGTTGCGAAATGCTGCTGAATGTAGCTCATATTTGGGTGAACCAGTATAAATTTTTGTGTCCGTATCTGTACTTTTCTTATTACCTTGTATTATTGTGGTTGATTGTGTTTTCACTGAAGAATGTCGGTGAAAAGTTTCTTGGTTAGTAATTTTTCCAACAATAAATTATATTCTAATAATATATGGATAAAATTATATTAGTATATAACATGTATATCTGCCTTGTGTTTTGGAAAAGAAGAAAAAAAAAAGGAAAGTAAAGATAATTTTTCCTTTTTATCTTCATAAACTAAATTTATTGAGCATTATATGTATTTTGATAAAGACTACCACAAGCTCTTGTCAAATTGTTACCATAGTAGAACTATAGATTTTTTTT